CCGAGAGTTTTACAATTCCGAATTCATGGATCTTATGCAAAAGCACGGTATTACCCTGTACTCAACGTTCAGTAACTTGAAGGCATCGATCTGTGAGCGCTTTAATCGTACGCTGAAAAGTAAGATGTGGATGCAGTTTAGCCTGCAGGGCAATCACCGGTGGCTGGATATCTTATCGGACCTGGTATCCTCTTACAATAACAGTAAGCATCGTACCATTGGTATGAAACCGACGGATGTGACTGCTCGTAACGAGAAGGATCTACTACAACGGGTGTACAAGAAATTCAAAGTCAAGACCACACTTAAACGACCAAAGTTTAAAGTCGGCGACAGAGTACGAATCAGCAAATTTAAACACATCTTCGAGAAGGGCTACACACCCAATTGGACAACCGAAATTTTCACCGTAAGTCGAGTGAAGAATACCGATCCGGTGACGTACAATCTCAAGGACTACCAGGATCATCCCATCGAAGGCGGCTTCTACGAGCATGAACTTACCAGCGTCAAGTATCCCGACATATATCTTGTGGAGAAGATACTGAGGAAACGTGGAAACAAGCTATTTGTGAAATGGTTAGGGTTCGATGGTTCGCACAATAGTTGGATCGATAAGTCGGATTTGTAGGCTTCACCGAGATGGGACAAGGTATGAAAATGGATAATTTTTTTTCAGAAGAAGACTATGATTAAAGAAACTATTATATTTTTTTCATTTTAGTACATCTACTGCTACTACTGACACTAATGCTGCTGCTGCTGCTGCTGCTATTACTACAGTGGTTCACATTACTGTAAAACCAAAAAGACTTGTTATAATCAAATTAAAAATGCATAATTGATGTATGCAATATCATGAAAATTAACAAGAAAACAATTCTTCAATGCTTACCTTATATTTTTCGGAACCAAATTTGATTATTGTTATATTCTTTAACAGCGAGAACACCATTTATATCAATGGCACATAGAGGGTTGTAAAAAGCGTCACTCATTCTTAAAGCGTTTTCTACAGTAATACGTGCGCTCTGTTCAAATCCGTTTTGTACCCATTCGATGGGTACAAAGACGCGCGGTAATAACTGAACGTAGTGGTCAGACATTTTTTGAACTTAGTCGTAGCGGGTGAAAGCGTCATTTTTAAAGCGTGCTCCCTACCTCTACCTTTCAGTATGTGACAAAGAGTGCTAGCGACTTCTGAGAATTATTTATTAAGATAACGCATAGAAGGAACAATCCAGATGGCTAGGAGCTGGCGTTGCATTGAAGGATTAAGTGATATGCAATAATGTAAAGCACACGTTGTCTTTATTTTCAATTTTTACATTTGTACATTACATCTTATATATCTTATACAATTACATTATATACATCTTACATTCTATAACCCCACGGTAGGGTGTCGGTCGTACCAGGAAGAATGACCCTCTTGTCGTCATTCCAGCTCAGTGCTATTTTTCTCTGTTCAACGGTATAAACTTTATGTTTTTTACTTTGAATTAAATTTTGA